GACTGAGACGGTGGCCACAACCACCGTAGTAAACACAGCGGAGGCGTTACGAGAGAGGAAAGAAGAGATTAAGAGACAGAAGCAAGACGAAGAAGGTTTGCATCTTCTTACATTGTTGCTACAGTGTGCAGAAGCAGTCTCTGCGGATAATCTCGAAGAAGCGAACAAGCTTCTATTAGAGATCTCTCAGCTCTCTACTCCTTATGGTACCTCTGCACAGAGAGTAGCTGCTTACTTCTCTGAAGCTATGTCTGCGAGATTACTCAACTCTTGTCTCGGGATTTACGCGGCTTTGCCTTCACGGTGGATGCCACAAACTCATAGCTTGAAGATGGTCTCTGCGTTTCAGGTGTTCAATGGGATAAGCCCTTTAGTGAAATTCTCACACTTTACTGCTAATCAAGCGATACAAGAAGCTTTTGAGAAAGAAGAGAGTGTACACATCATCGATTTAGACATCATGCAAGGACTTCAATGGCCTGGTTTATTCCACATTCTTGCTTCTAGACCTGGAGGACCTCCTCACGTGCGTCTAACGGGACTCGGTACTTCCATGGAAGCTCTTCAAGCTACAGGGAAACGTCTTTCGGATTTCGCAGATAAGCTTGGTTTGCCTTTTGAGTTCTGCCCTTTAGCTGAGAAAGTTGGAAACTTGGACGCAGAAAGACTTAATGTTAGGAAAAGAGAAGCTGTTGCTGTTCATTGGCTTCAACATTCTCTTTATGATGTTACTGGTTCTGATACACACACTCTCTGGTTACTTCAAAGGTAAAACAAACACTACCTTTTAATGTATTGTTTATAGAGTTTTTTTTTTTGGATAGAGAGAGATGAGTAAAAAAGTGGTCTTTTTGTTGGTTGTTGTTGTTGGGAATGAGAACAGATTAGCTCCTAAAGTTGTGACAGTAGTGGAACAAGACTTGAGTCATGCTGGTTCATTCTTAGGAAGATTTGTGGAAGCAATACATTACTACTCTGCGTTGTTTGATTCGTTAGGAGCCAGCTACGGCGAAGAGAGCGAAGAGAGGCACGTCGTGGAGCAAC